TAAATAAATAGTACAATGTGTTTGTTCCGCAAACAAAATAGCAAATGGTAAGGATATTGTATAATAAGTCCCGTAGCCTTTTGATAGTTCAAAACTGCACCCAGCTGTGCTTGATCATTAGGCGTTTAGCCCAAATTATTGGGCATGAGCTAATCTTAGTAACACAGCTACAAACTCACTTCATTCGAAACTCATCTTTCAGTCGTATTTTGGTTAAACTACGCTCTTAGGTAGCGTCCCCAAAAATAGATTATCCGTTTTTGTCAAGAATCTGTTGTAATTATGTATGTATGTATCGTAAGAGGGTTGGACTCAGGATCCTAGAAGGTCAACCAAAATATGACACTGTTTAGTTAAGTTGTTGTTGTTTAATGTATATATAAATCACCGTTAAAGCTAATTACCATGATGATATTACTTCTTTGTTTGAAGTTCATTGTTGGTGATGGTTAGTTAACGTTGTTTAAAGGTTTATTGTAGACATTTTCAATTACGATGGTAAAAAACAATACACAAAGTTTCGGGATCTGGAATCTGATCCCGTCCTCAGATGAAAAAACTTAACTAACACAAAACAACTAATCTAATAAATACTAAACCTAATCTAATTACTAACTATTAAACTAATGTGTACCTATTGTTTTTTGTCATCGTGATGGAAAATGTCCACAATAAACCTTTGAACATGATATTACCGTTACAACAACAATAGTTGTAAAAAGTATTAAGTTGAGATTTCAGTACATAATAAATTAACTGCAGGATTTATAAACTATAAAATTCCATAATACAATATTTATTGTGTTCATAAATTTGAATTATCAATAGGTCTTAGAGAAAACAGGTTGATTCGTATTTACGTTACATTCCCAATAACACCAAACCGTGTAGGCAACAATGCATTAATACAGGTAATGACTCAGGGATGCCAACTTATGGAGTTTATCATTTGTTTATCTTATATTAAAACATTGACTCTCTGTGCATGTAGTTTATGTTGCGTTGTAAAAACATCCCCTATTTATGGTAAAATAAATTGTTTAACCTTTTTTCAGGAAAAGGAGAATGTGATTTGATGTGAGAAGCCTTCGCTATATAGGACTTCCAATATGTCAAACTGGCCACAAATGAACCGCAGTAACTTTGAGTGAAGTGAATTGAGGCCATTTGTTACTGAACAGTCGCTCTGAATTGGTCTGACATATTGGGGAATTTCATTGACACATAACTCCCTCTAAACACCACATTACATACGTTAGTGCGATTCAATTCAAATATTTTGCAGGATTTTTATAAACTCTATCTTTCAGGTTAAACCGAATGACAAATTTATAAATAATATCAATATCAAGGTCAAAAAGTACTAGAATGTATTTACGCTATATGTTATTACTCTTATTGTGTTAAAAACAACTAATTCAATTTCATGTTAACTTTTTCATGTAAGAGTAAAAAAAATTTAATGGAAAGGTTTTAGTACTGTTTTAAATTTATATTATTAATTTCATTTGAGTATTGACAGATTTACTATTCAGAGTGCAGAACATGCTTTAATGGAATATTTACAATTCCATTAATAAAGTAAATGACGATATGTATATATTCCAGTAAATGAACGATATGCACTTATCATGTAGTGTTGGGTATTACCTTTGACTATTGATAGAGCTAATGACAATAATATATCGTTCAACGTAATATGGGATTAACATAATATCGTTGCAGGAGATCATGTATGACACTTCAATACTGATATTAAATTATTGTTGCACTATTATTATTCAATTAATGTGCGTTAATTAACTATGGAACAGGTGTTTAGCATTTAAGTTATGAAAGTACTGTATTACAGAGAATAAAAAATATTTTTTTAGGTTACAACACCATGATGCAAGAGCAGCTATTAAGAAATACGATATTTTTTGTATGTTTTTTTTTTCTACAGTCACCTGAAAAAGTGTCCTTCTATGTACTTATTATAGCACAGAAAGTTGTTAATTGCTGCATCCACTTACTTTAGCCGCACACTTTTATTTGCGCACACCAGTATTCCAACCAAACAACACAAAACAGCGTGCTTTTATTAGGCACGTAATACGTGTACGCTTGAAAATAAGTTGACGACTAGGATAGCTGGTGCAGCGTTTCCCTTATCGTTCAATGTTTGGATTTAACCTAACCTAAAAACGTGATGTACAGTGTTTGAAAGATTAATTGACTAATTATTTATATGTTTTATATTAACTGTAGGAAAATATAATGTGTAACGTGAGTGCAAATTGCCTTTGCTGCCCTTAAGAAACTTACAAAACTCGCCTACGCCTTGTTCGTAAACATTTTTCTCGTATGCAGCAAAGAGCCACTTCGTCCACTAGTTGCACAAATAACTATTGTATTGGCCTGTATGTATATATAATGTGAGGACGAACAATTCCTCATGAGGTGTTTAACCCAGTTTTGGTTGATTTTTTTTCTCAATTGAGGCAAATTGCATGTTCGGTACATATTTTTTACGTTTATCGGATTGGACCTCTCGCTATCTTGTCAACAGTTAGAAATACAGGCATGTGATGTACAACGTCTTAGGTAATAACATTTGTTAGACATATTTGATCAATTTCAATACTTTATTTGTAGTTGTAGGGAAATAATATAAAGACCTTCACAACTGTGAATAATTGGCATTCTAACATTTGTACGTTACAAGCCAACACGAATCGTTCATAAATATTATTGAACTGTATACATTTATAATCCTATATTTGTACCTCATTATAAGTGGTATTTCATTTTTCTATCACCTATACTTTAATTCCTACTCATAATACAGTCTTCATATCATTAATACGCCTATTTATTTGGGCTTTTTAATACAAATATTAACTTTTTAACACGGTAAATGGTGGTTGAGGTGTTGCTGTTGAAATAATACGTATGATAATTGTAAATATGATCATAAAATTTCCCATATTCTCTCACTTTCTGACAAACGAAATTATAATTGGTACATGAGGAGTTATAAATTGGTTAGAACTATTCAGTGAGCTCCATTAGACCAGAAAATCATGTTATTTGTATTTCTAATCATTAAGCTTCAATATTCTTGAAGCTTAGAATCGAAATACACATAAAAGCAAAAGTCCCAAAGGACAATTCCAGTCATGAAAGTGCCATAAGTTACCTGTTAAATAAAGATAAGTGCTTGGAGATTTATACATTTTTCAACACATATCATATCACGTAGTGGTCTTGGAATTGTTTTATTTTGTTTCCTTCAAAAAAATGTATTTTTTATGTCATTTGCAATTTTATATCTTTGGTTATATATAAAAGATTCTCTAGTTCTTACTGCCATTTGACATCGTTTACTTAAATGTCAACCACAAATGGCGTATGTATCACTGTTGTTACATTGACCTCGATGGATTAAATATAACCTTTGACTTTTAATACAACTTCAGTATCCAATAGTCAATGATATAACACATAAATAGAATGAAAATGTTAGTTTATAAAAGTGTATGTTTTAGAAGTGGCTGAATTTACGATGGTAATAAATATAATTAATAGTAATAAAGAGATGAAATGCTTATAATTCAAATAACAAGTACGTTTATTCTGCAGAGCAAGGAGACCAATTAATATGGTTAAGTGGGTTTGATTGAACTAAGCATGTCTAACATCCAAACATTTACTATGAACAAGAGAACAAGTATTTTTTTGTCCTAGGACGCTAGGCGCGAGCCTGTGTTTATTTTTCACATTGGCTTGACCTAGGGGGTTGCAGCATTATCACTTCGATAAAATCCATTGGTGGCTGGCGGGATTTGAACTCAGGACCTCAGGGACTGAAGTCCAGCGCCCTAACCATTAGACCAGCTCTCTCACCTATGAATAAGTAATAAGATGATTACTAATTTGCAATTTACGTATAATAGAAAAGGCAATTAGGACGAGAGCGTTTAAAGTCAGTCGTTGAACGTGCTGACCGTAAGTCGTTGGACTTGGCAGAGTCTGAGCAGCTACGTGCCACGCTTATCGGAACTGCAGGAATTGGCATGAAGTAAAAAATAAATCTGCATATCATACTTAAAATATATGCATATTTTTTAAATTTCATAAAAACACTATACAAATTATATTTCTTTCTTCACTAGCTGTTTCATAAAAAAGTGGCTAGTCAGTTTGATTTAGCTCAGTCAGTATCATGATGGACTGTGAGGCCAAGACAGTAATGCCGTGAGTTCGAATCCCGATACCACCAATAATCAGCACAGTTGATTCTTCTACTTAACCAGTTTTCGGTTTCTTAGTTGATTATTGTATTTTTGGTTTGCCTCTCTCGCTTTGCTTGTTAAGTTTGACGTCAAGGTTGTTTTAGATTCATTGCTTCGAAGTATTCATAGTAAAAGTTTTCGCTTGTATCCTAATAAAATTTAATGGGCATTTGTTAGCTGTATACTAGTCAATGATACTACTTACTACTCACTACTGTAAGATATATGTAAAGTTTCACATAAATCAGAATATTAAATTGTGTCTTGTTAAAATAAATCATAGTGGCTTCATCAGCATTTAAACTAATCGTTTGTTTTGACACTATTCACCCAGTTACAGATGTCAAAACTACTATTTCGTAGCTATGTGTTGTATTGTATTAGTTGGAAAGATGAAACCTTTGTGTATAGTCACTTTGATTGACACGAAACCATCAACTATGCGAATGTCCTCACTCACTTCCCTCGTCTTCGCCTTGGTCGTGAGTTGTGACACTTTAGCTCGGGTCAAAAGGAGTCACTTTACGCCCTAGTGATAAAATATACTATTACACAGGCTGTTCATAAACTATACGTAACAAATATAATGACGCTGCACACTAGCAACCTAATATATTTATGAAACGAAAGTAAAAATATGTTTAAACTCTTTCTCAGGTAACACATACATTCTTAATGATACAACTTGTAATATATAATCAAGGCTTAAGAGGACTAGATTGTTTTAACGGTGTTGGCTGCACTGTACCAATGCCGTGACGTCATTGCTACCTACCAGATTGCCCGCTGAACGGCTGTCTAACGTCATCCATGCTAAAAGTAAGTCATGTTCTATGTTGTGCGTTATACCTAAAAGTAGTGCAGTTCTTTATACATTTCATTGGCGCAGTCGGTAATTACGGATTTCTTTCTATGGATTAAAAAGTAAAAATCTTTTCCGCGAGTGTTAATGGGAGACAAAAAGGACAAAGGAAAAGGATCTACTGTGACGAAAATGTCAGGTATTGGGAAGGTGGGAGAGTTTAATCCCCATGAGGAAGCCATTGAGTCGTATTTAATGCGTCTCAAACACTATTTCAAGGCCAATAGTATTGAAGATGGTAGTAAAGTTTCAGTGTTGATTACTGTTCTGGGCCCTAAAATATTAGCAGTTTTGTCAGATATTGTGTCTCCTGATGAGGTGGATAGTAAATCTTATGAAGATTTGTCAAAAGTATTGGTCAAACATTTTTCCCCAAAGAAGTTAGTAGTGGCGGAACGATACATGTTTTATTCCAGGGTACAAAAGCCTACCGAAACTATTTCTGAATTTGTTGTAGCTATCAAGCATTTGTCTAGTACTTGTAAATTTTCTACATTTCTGAAAGATGCCCTTAGGGACAAATTGATTTCTGGAATTAATAATGAGGTGATACGACAAAAATTGTTGTCTGAAGACTTAGATTTTGAAGAAGCTCAGACTTTGGCTCTCAGGCTGGAACAAGCAGAGAAGCAAACAGGTCTTTTCAGTTCGAAACAGGATGTTAACAGTTTGAGTATGAAACGTGGTAAAAATGTTTTACCTGCTAGCTCTTTTAATAAATCCAATGTAAATGGTTATTTTAAACCAAATATGGGGTTTAATGGGAAAAATAAGTGTTACAGGTGTAATTCAGTGGAACATAAAGCTAATGATTGTCCATATTCTAGTTACAAGTGCAATGCATGCAATATGGTTGGGCATTTGTTCAAGGCTTGTAAGTCCCGAAATAAATTTAACAAGCAGAATTCAAAGTCCAAGAGTGGAAGATTTGCCCCACACAAGGTGCATCATCTTAATTTGGAAGAGGAGGACCCTAGGCCTAGGCCTAACTTGGATATAGTCAAGGAGACTCGGGACTTGTGTTTGTACAATCTAGGCCTATCTGACGGTACAGAAGCTTACAAGGTAAGACTAATGATAGAAGATGTAGTTGTAGAAATGGAAATTGATAGTGGATCAGCAGTATCCGTGTGCCCGTCTGAGGTTTTTGCGGAAAAATTTCCTAATGTGGAATTAAATCATGTAAATTTGAGTTTATTGACATACACTGGTGGGGAGGTGCCTGTGCTAGGCCAAGCTGATGTAACTGTAAAATATAAAGGTCAAGAAGTTATGTTGCCCTTATTGGTTGTGAAAATGTGTCGTAGGAACCAGCCTATGTTGTTGGGAAGGAGCTGGTTGGCCAAGTTGAAACTTGATTGGCGTTCTATTTTTTCAGTAGTATCGGAAGTAGGCCTACAGAGTAGGCCTAGTAATCAAATTAATTTGACTTTGTCTGAGCCTAACCCTGTGAGTAGTGTATCAGGACCTAGTTGTAAGGATCAACTGAGTAGGCCTAAGCTTAGCAGTACAACTGAAGTTGATGTGCAAACGTTGAAAAATAAATATGCTATGGTATTTCAAACGGGAGCTGGAGAAATTAAAGGGGTTACTGCTCACATTATTCTTAAAGACAATGTAGTTCCCAAGTTTTGTAAATATAGGCCAGTGCCTTATAGTTTGAGGGAGAAGGTTGAACAAGAGTTAGACCGAATGGTTAACGATGGAATAGCCTATAGGGTTTCCAGCTCCGAGTGGGCTACACCGTTGGTGACGGTTCCTAAACCAAATGGCGTAAGATTGTGCGCCGATTTTAAGGTAACGTTAAATCCGGTGCTGCAAACAGAGCACTATCCGCTTCCGCAACCGGAAGATATTTTTGCCTCGTTGTCAGGATGTACATACTTTTCAGTAATCGACCTCACAAATGCCTATCAGCAGTTAGCAGTAGCAGAGGAGTCACAACCTTTGTTAACCTTGACTACCCATAAAGGACTTTTTAGATTGAGACGTTTGCCGTATGGGTTGTCGTCCGCACCGGCTATTTTCAAGCAGTCATTGATCAGATTGTATGTGGGTTACCAGGTACCGTAGCGTACTTGGACGATGTTCTAGTGGGAGGCTCAACACGTGAAGAAGCTTGTAGTAGATTAGAAAATCTGTTTCAGCGTCTGATGGATTATGGAGTTCGGGTTAACGAGAGCAAGTGTAAATTTTTGCAGCCTAAGGTTGAGTATTTAGGCTATGTGGTTTCAGCAACGGGAATCAGCCCCCAGCAAGGGATTGTGTCGGCTATTCGAAATGCCCCGGAACCGAGTAACAAGGATGAGTTAAGGGCCTACATTGGGTTGATTAATTACTATGGAAAGTTTATTTACAATTTGTCATCAAAAATCAGTTGTTTTTATGATCTTTTGAAGAAGGACGTCCCATGGAAGTGGACCAAAGAGTGTTCACGCACTTTTGAGGAAAGTAAGTCATGGGTTCTTGACTCCAATATTTTGGTGCATTATGATGTGTCTAAGCCACTTGTTTTAACGTGTGATGCTAGCCCTAGGGGAGTGTCAGCCATTCTGTCTCATATGGTCGATGGAGAAGAGCGGCCTGTAGCTTTTGCGTCCAAAACTCTTAGCCCTAGTGAGAAAAATTATTCCCAACTACACAAGGAAGCATTGGCGTTGATATTCGGTGTAAAGAAATTCCACAAGTATATTTATGGTCGTAAGAACTGTGTGTTACAGACGGATCATCAGCCGTTAGCGGCAATTTTTGGAACAAAACGTGGTGTACCTAGCCTAGCTGCGGCAAGACTTCAGCGATGGGCTCTCATTCTGGCAGCATACAATTTTGAGGTTAAATATCGAAAAGGGGTTGACTTACCCCACGCTGATGCGTTATCACGCCTACCTCTACAAGATGATGAATCGTTGGAATTGGAGGATAATTATGTTTCACATGTTGAGTCTTGTGTTCAAGTAATCAATTTCTGCAGTGTGAGTGATGATTCTCCGATTACGTCTTTGGACGTAGGAAGATTGACGGACAAAGATCCATTGTTGTCGAGGGTTCGGGACTTTGTTTTACATGGCTGGCGGGAGGTTCAAAATCCTATGTTGCTTCCATTTCAGAGGAGACGATTGGAGTTGTCAGTGGACAAGAATTGTATCTTGTGGGGAAGTCGGGTGGTGATTCCTGAGATGTTGAGGGAGAACGTTATCCAGATGCTCCATGAACAGCATCCTGGTATAACCCGGATGAAGTTGTTGGCTAGAAGCTACGTGTGGTGGCCAGGTATCGAAAAATCCATTGAGGAGACAGTGGCGTCTTGTTTTGTATGTCAAGGCACGAGAAATGCCAGTCCTAGAGTTCCATTGCATCAATGGCCGTTAGCCACGGAGAGGTGGCGCAGAGTTCACATTGATTTTGCAGAAGATCCCACGTCAAGACAGCAGATGCTCATCCTAGTCGATAGTTACTCAAAATGGATTGAGGTGTTTCTGATGAGCTCTACATCTTCCTCCAAGACTATAGAGAAGCTTCGGACTTTGTTTGCAGCCTATGGTTTGCCCGAAGAATTGGTTTCTGATAATGGTACCTCATTCACTAGTCTCGAATTCCGTGAATTCCTTAGAAAGAATGGTGTCAAATTCACCCTGTCCCCACCCTATCACCCGGCATCCAACGGAGCCGCAGAACGTTCAGTTCAGGAAGTCAAGAAGAGTCTGCTGCGCCAGGTCTTGAGTGAGAAGCGCAGTCATCCTACTTCTTTACAGCATAAGCTAGATAATTTTCTATTTTCCTATCGCAACACCCCCACTTCAGTGACAGGCGTGAGTCCGGCTGAATTGTTCCTACGCTGGAAGCCTAGAACTCACTTAACAATGTTGAAGCCAAATTTGCTTGATGAGGCCAGGAAGCAACAGGAGTTGCAAAAACGGGCAGCAGATAAACACAGAGGCTCTGATAGGTCCTTCAGTGAAGGCCAGCATGTGTTAGTAAAGACGGTGAGGCAGGAAAAAATTTCTTGGGTTCCCGGCCAAATTGTGGAGTGTAGAAGTCCAGTAACTTATCTTGTGAGGGTCCTGAACCGCACCAGGTTTTGTCACGCTGATCATCTAAGACCAAGTCAGGTGGAGGAAGAGGAAATTTTGGTTAGAAGAGAGGAAGTGCCAGATCCACCGGAATCAGTGACCGTCAGCGTGTCGCCGGAGAGAGTATCTCCAAGTCGGCAGAGTTTGCCGTCATCGCCAAGGGCCAGAAGTCCACCGTCACCCCAAGGACGGAAGTCGATGGAAGAGGGGCAGCGTCCAGAGGTGCAGTGCAGTCCAACTCCTGTGGTTAGAAGATCGCAGCGGACTGTGCGCAAACCAGCTAAACTGGACTTGTAAGTGTGTATACACACGATTCAAAAAGAAGAATTTTTAGTTGATTATTAAAAAAAATATATATAAAAAAAAAGAAGAAAAAAAAATGGAAGTTAAAAAATTGTTTGGTTTTAAAGAACGTTTTATGTTGAATTAAAGTTTTATAAGAAGTTTTAAGTTGTGGGCCAACTATTTTATAAGGGTTGGCGAGTGTAATATATAATCAAGGCTTAAGAGGACTAGATTGTTTTAACGGTGTTGGCTGCACTGTACCAATGCCGTGACGTCATTGCTACCTACCAGATTGCCCGCTGAACGGCTGTCTAACGTCATCCATGCTAAAAGTAAGTCATGTTCTATGTTGTGCGTTATACCTAAAAGTAGTGCAGTTCTTTATACATTTCACAACTCTTTCTACTGAATAGTGTTTGAACTTGGTCTTATATGATCGTTGGTTTGAACTAACCCAGAGGCTTTCATGGTAGGCAAACAGGAGAACGATAGACAAATATGTAACAGAGAATGTTTGATATTTACACGAGAAATCTCAGAGTTATGATACGGCTGACTGATAAACAGTGATTCTGTTTTCTAAATTTACCTTTCTCTTACATGTATAGTGTTTTGTCGTTAGATGTGATATTCAGTTTTATTGTTTTTAATTCTAAACTATATTTTAAGAATTACCATATCGAATGCAATAAGTGATTTGCAATTACACCTTACGTTAATCTGTTATTTTATTTTCTCTACTGTAAAATAAATCTATTTAGTTAGGTGTAATATCAATTTAGTTGCATAAACTAAACTTCATTCCATCATACACAAACAGAATTTAGTTGCTTCTGCAAAAAAAGATGGCTAACCTTATTTATTATTGTTCATTAAATTCGACCAAAGACATATATTTTAAGAATACAAGTTTGACATCCAAGCGCTTCTGTGTTAACAGCTTTTGGCATCACATTTATCCAGTTTATTAATCAGATTTGTTGGTATATATGAAAACATGTGCAGTGTCTACATATTTGTGAGGAATCGGAAACAACAAGTGAATCGAATTTAAAGGACTGAATATTCATTCAACGAACTGAAGATCTTTACTCCGAGACGAGAAATAAACTTGTTTGTGCTTTATCTCCATTTAAAAATCCTTAGAAAAATATTTTAACATAAACACTAATTCAACTTAGCATTAAGCTAACTGAGTTATTTCTTCCATAAAAAATACTACAATAATATATATATATATATATATATATAATGATATATATATATATATATATATATATATATTTTGCTTTTAATTTTGTTGTTATTTTTATATTTAATATAAAAGGCCGTTTTTTTATCAATTTCTTTCCAATTGGTATTGCCCTCTTGGAGAACGTATCTCTGAAGTTAAAATAACAGCAGACTAACTTTCACTCGTAATATAAGTACTGTACATGGTAGGATAGTAGAGAAATAAAATAACACGAAACTTGCTCAATATTGTGTTGCAAAGTAATAAAACTAAGATCCACTCTCAGCGAGGACATAGTGTAACAAGAGTTGAAGCCATAGGCTAGATTTTACAGCTGGATGCTCTTGTATTTCATATCAGTTTGGTGTATTTTGACTCTCAGCAGTAATTTTAGAGGGATTAATAATTGTAGTCTCTGTATATTTATGTCCGGTAAAAAAGTGTCTTCACTAAGTGTCGTCTAGGCTCTAAGGACTGCATTTGGAATGAGTATTTAAATAATTATATGATAAGCTATGATACTATCAACAATATTTGTTACTAGCTTTGGTTGTAACAAAAATCAACTAGTTCTTTTGTAAATTCTTTAGTTTTTTTTATTATTTAATGAAATTCCACTTAGTGATTCCAGTACAAAAAGACATGTACTATCAAAATCATGTATAAGGTAAACAGGTAACTGCACTTTTTATTCTCTATTCAGCACACTTTAAACCCCCTTTCGAGTGAAGCAACAACAAACTCGTAAGGGATAAAATACAAAAAGGGTCCCTTGACAACAAAAAAATTCTTTTTTTAATTATGTATATTATTCGTCTATTCAGGTGAGAGATAAAAGAATACAAAAAGTGTCCCTAGACAGCAAAAAATCCTTATTTTAATAGTTTACATCATTCGTCTATTCAAGCAAAAGTCTTACACATTGGAGGATAGTCTTGTAACAAAATATATTTTCCCCTGCTCGTAAAAACAATCCTAAGGGCTGGTACGATAAGTAAACAAGATGAGGGTGAACAAATATGATCAGTAAATGTTGTTTGATATTTACTCGGGAAATCTCAATATTATGTTATGAGACTGGTAAATACGTAAAATATATTTCAATATCTCATAAGATTACGACAATTGTGTTTTGCCATTTTATGTATGGTTTTTATTAAAGTTTTTACAGCAAATTGTTGTCGAAACTACTACTATCATAATATAGCATGCAGTTGAAAGTGTTCTTATTAATTTGGTTTCTTTTGACTTCTTTGTTATTGGAATGTTTGTAATTTATTTTTAATATTCCGAACCCTAACATTATTCATGAAACGTCTGCCTTTTGTCAACACATTTTGTTGAACTTTTGTTTGTGTAAAACACAGTAACTTTTTATGTTTGGTCCTTTGAAGTCACAACTATTTGTTAATTCATTCTAATTAATTACTTCTGTGTAGAATCCCACCATTATGTCTGAGTATTGGAAATTGAGTTTAGCGGAA